AAGGTCGAGCCGATGACGAATTGAAGTACGCTGTTGCCGATATTAGTCTACGCTAGTGTTCGCGCTTTTTGGAAGCGTCACTGACTGCCGATTCGCGAAATTGATCAGCGGAAAGAACGATAACGGGAAACGACGCCCCAGTGTTCAATGGGACTATTGTCTACGAGCTGAAATCTGTAACGGTGTAGAAACAACGCCGGAAGATTCGACGTGAACAAATCGCGAGTCTGTCGATATGACTGGCGCAGGCGCGCGACCGAAAGCGGAGCGCAGCCGACGGAAATCGATGATGACACTCGCGTGTGATTTCGTAGATAACGTAGTGTTGTTATGGAAACCGTGAATCGATGAGTCAGACAGCGCTTTCGGCGATCGTTCTTCGAACTTTCTTCGATTTTCATCGAAGTTGTTATAATTATAATTAGTTGTACGAAAATATAACCAATAGGAAGAATTTATTATATTTTTATAAAATTCGTTACTTGTAAGAAGTAATTTTTTATGAATTTATCTATTGTATGAATGGCGTATTTAGGCGTAATCCTATTTTTTATTTTATGTTATCTATTATCGTGACTGCGTGTAATCTTACAATTTGTCGTCCATTTATCTTGTTTTTTCTTAATTATCTTTCCTATTTCAATAATTTTTAGTAATAGATCCATTACTTTAGTAGCGCATATCAAAGAAATAATTGTTAGGATTGCAGCAATTGTTTTCAGCGAAAGGAAACAATTTTGGATTCACGTTCATATCTACTTGATAAAATCTAGTTAATTATTGTTCACAATACATAAGAGGAAGTTTGCGCGCCATTGAAGGCAATCTTCAGTGTCATTGAAGTTAATCACGTGAACCTACCATGTTCTCTCGATCCTAGTACATGCACGACAAATACATACATCAACTTATAATTGCTCTAATTGACATGGTATGTCGCGTTAAATTGTTCTTCTTAGTCAGTTACTCGAACATTATATCCAGCAACAATTCATATTTCATTTGAAATATCAAAACAAATATTTTAAGTTTCCGGATATTTAAAAAATTTTAACTTTTTTTTCTTGTATTCTCGTTAAAAGAAAAAGAACACATTTTACCTTCTGATGGAATTTTTGGTTCGAGAGATCAGATTAATTATTTACAGATCACAATCGTTATAACGTACAATATTACATAAAAGTAATTTATAAATAATAATTAATTAGAAATCAAACAGTTGTTAGAATATAAAACAGCCGAAAGTGGCGTATGACGATAAAAATGATGCCTGGAAATATTAGTTTCGGATGTGGCCGTGAAAGTGGACGCGTGTTTCCGCCGCTAGAAGGTGAAATTCTCGCTTAGTATGCGGCTCGTAGACACGTACTTTCCCGTAGAGTGTAGAACGTACGTTGAATGTCAATTGCCAAAAACACTTTTACGTTCGTTTCGAGAAATGGCTTTGTCTGTTCCAATTACGCGTTGTGCGCTCAATTATCGTCATCTACCAATTGCTGGCCAAGGTAACCGCTGACTTTATATGCCGAAATTTCAAGCACTGAAAACACAGCCAGAAAATGCTTGCTTGGACAAAAATGAAGGGTTGAAACCACGACATGCCAAGAGGGAAACGATAGAGGGATAATTTTTGTGATAAACGAGCCGATGTAATGACGGTCCGCTTTCCAGTCCTTTCACGATGCATCAAGATGCAATAAAAATGAAAATAAACGGGTTTACTAATGGCGTGATGTAAATGTATAATAAAGAATAATTGTACGTGATAAACCGTGTCTCGATGATCTTAATGTGACGTCGTGGGAATTTTAGTAGCGGAAATGAAGTGAAAGATCGGTTGTAAAGAATTTGTCAAAATCTTAGATAAGTGTGATTATTGTAATTAGTTTTGTTGAGCTTGAGGTTGACTGATTGAAGAACTAATGGATGAATTTGTAATAGAAATGTATATTGAAATAATTAAAGGCATAAGTATAATGTATAAATTTATTTTGATTCAGATCCTTACTCTCTTAGTGTTATTGTGTTATAGTGTTATTTATAGCAAAAGACATTACCAAAAAAAGTTAAGCTTATAGTTTTAGCTTGAGGCTACAGGGAACATAAATAGAAATAGATTTTATTAGTTCCTTTGTTCCTAGACCTTGCAAACCAAAACATAATGTATACTTAAGAGTACAATAATATGTACCGTACCTTTTTAGAATATTTCTGCGTAATAGCAGTGTACAGGTCACGGATGTACATAAATAAAGATGTAGAGTTTTTCTTGAAGTAGTTACATCAACAAGTTTCTTGCAAATTCGTCAAAAAAAGAGACGCGCACGTACTACAGTTCGAAAGTACCCGAATACTTGATCGTTTCATACAAAACGTAATTTAATTACAAAATTCTAGAAAAATTGTAGATCTCGCGATGACTTTATTGCCTTCTAGTGCTACTAGAATAGTACCATGTATTCGCGTACGATTGAATATTTTGTCGCGATTAAATTGATTTTTAAAAATTAATATGTACGTTATGATAAAACTGACTTGTACAATCGTTACACCATGTAGAAGTATTTGCAAAGACGATAAGTCCTTACCTTTTGATTCTTTAATTTCTGAATTATGAGTTAGATTAAGACGAATTCTAAACTGATAAAAGAATTATCGACGTCAATGCAACCAATGATATTGATATAGTAGACATTTTTCGGAAACTCAGAAATGTATTATATAATAAAAGACGATCGTCATTCGTAAATGCGTATGTAAATTATATAGTTGAAATATACGCGACAGTTTTTGCAATTTAAATCCATTCAAAGGAGGAATAATAAATACAGTTTCTATCGGTTGTTTGAATTTTCCAGAAGAAACCGCTTATATAACATGGAAACAGAGGGGATAATGCTTTGTCCAATATCGAAACGGCACAAAAAGAATTACATAGCTTGTTAAAAATATGCGGAGGAAGATACTGAATGCTGGAAAAATACTCTTCTTACGGCATTTTAAAAAATACCAATTCCATCGAAATGAATAGAATGAAATCTGAAACGTTCACTTTCTTCCCTTTAAATATGAAATTTTATTTTATGCTATCTTGTTTTACTTCGTTTATTATACTAAATAACATTTCTCGTATCTCCGACTTTTTATTACAATAGGATACGTAGTTTCGCGTAATATACATTTTATTTATGTATCCTATTAACCTTTTTGTTTCTGTTAATAAAACAATTTTATTTATTCGAATATTCTCTACGTTTTAAATAAATAAAATTATCCTTTCAATAAATATTATTACGTTCCCTGAACAGAATTATGCTTTTCGTTACCTTATAAGTATTCCTCTCTATGTCTTTATTCGGGTGAAAGTCGAATATCGTGAAAAATATCGCATGAAGATTGATGTAACATTACCCGTTCTCACCCGTTTTAGCTGTTTCAAAATTCATAACAGGAAAGGAAAGCATAATCTCGTTCTCTCCGCCAAACATCACAAATAGGAAATTGCAGATTTCCCCGGAATACCCCGGAATTCTATTTCGCAATTCTGTCTGTGCAAATCGTCCCGACATAACACGTCTAACTAGTACCAGGATCAACGAATTTCGGTTGAAAATTTCTCCATTGCCAGGCTCCATCGTTATAAATAAATAAAACATTAAATTGCCAATTAACCGACCCGACTCCACCACCTCGTTATTTTCGACAATATCACCATAGACAAAAGAGTCTTCGAATTATATCGCGTTACTTTTCCAATTAAACGTCGATAGTCGGGCAGCTTTTTAATTTGACGATTCGTTACGATACAAGAACTGCCGCGAATCAGTGTTTAATCTTTCCGAACGCCTCGTCTTTTTAAGCTCATCGAACCAATCCTTTACCCGTCTAAAAAATTATGTTGTTTAATTTTCAGCATATATTAGCTTTAAAAATTAATCCTAAAATTGATTCACATATTACCTATTATTATTAATTATTAATTAGGACGACTTACATAGCAAAAAAAAAAAAAATTCATTGTTGAAGAAAGTAATTCTTCCCTAAAGAGAAGAACGTAATAAGTGTTGATTGTGAATACGTAATTAATGGCTGAAAATCCTCTAATTTACCAAAGATCGCCGGCACTCGTTATTTCTTAAAGGTTAAACGAAGCTTTATCAACAAATCCCTTGACAGAA